ATCAAACTATAACAAGGACAAAGGGACCAGGTTATCAAACAAATGAACAAGAGCAAGGATAAATTACAGTTACAGTACACTCAGATGGTTGGCCTTTATGCACACAAAATGTTTGCACGCATAGCGATAGCAATCTCTGAAAGGACCTAACTGATCATACACTGATGTCCAATGTGTACAATGTAAGCTTAGTGTTCAGTGCATGTTGTATATTCAAATATTGCTGCTTTTGTGTCTTGTCTTCTGATAAGAAACTAGTGTGGCCGGCTTGCTAAGTGATGAGATGTGCATGCCAAATGGCATGTGAAGAAGCTCCATATGTTCTGTATGTGCACAAAGATACGTATGTGCGCAGTACAATGCCCTTCCACATACAGGTGAAACTCGAATAATTAGAATATCGTGCAAAAGTAATTGCAGTAAGTGCTGCAAAAGGGGCCCAAACCAAGTACTGAGTACATATTCATGCTTGTACTTTTCAGAGGTCCGATATTGTTCTATGTACAATCCTTGTTTTATTGATTGCATGTAATAATCTACTTTTTTGAGGTTCTGGATTTGGGGTTCTTGGGGTTTTCATGAGCTGTAAGCCATAATCATCACAATTATGACAAATCACGGCTTGAATTATCTTGCTTTGCATGTAATGAGTCTATCTCATATATTAGTTTCACCTTTTAAGTTGCATTAGTGAAATAAATGAACTTTGCACGATATTCTAATTATTCGAGTTTCACCTGTATAGTGTTTTTTAGCTTTATACCAGGGGTGAACTGACAACACATGGGGCCCCAAGATTTTGTATAAACATTCTTGTGATGCATACATTATTTCTCCACACTTTTCAAAATAGTTGACCAGTTCTCTAAAAGATGTATTGACAGGGAATTGGTAGGAAACTTAAAATCTAGACCAATATAGGCAATTTGAAAAAATGAGCTAAATGGCAGAATGCATGGCAGACCAGAATCAATGAATGGCAGATTGGGCAGTTAGAATGACGCATACACAATGACATATCCAGAACCAGCCATCACACACAGTCTGAACACTGCGCAATGTCACACACACACACACACGCATTAATGAGCAGCTCCTTTCATGCCAGCGCATGGTTGAGTGTTCACCCTCAGCAGGTCCAGCGGGTGGGTGAAGCAGATGTGGAGGGTCTCAGCAAGGAAAATGATGAGGGTCTCGCCAGTGGCAGATGCTGAGGATTTCAGCAGGGGCAGATGCGAAGGGTCACAGCAGGGCAGATGAGGGCTCAGCATGGGCAGGTGTGGAGGGTCTCACTAGGGCCGATAAGGAGGGTCTAACCCGTTGTAGATGAGGAGGGATTCAGCAGAGGCAGAGAAGGAGGGTCTCACCAGGGGCAGATAAGGAAAGTCTTACCAGGGGCAGATGTGGCAGGTCTCAGCAGGGCACATGCCGTGGGTCTCAGCAGGGCAGATAAGAAGAACTCTCGCCAGGTGCAGATGCGGAGGGTCTCTGCAGGGGCAGGTGCGGAGGATGTCACCAGGGGCAGACAAGAAGGTCTCAAAATTAGCAGAGGCGGAGGTCTCCCCAGGGGCAGATGCGGGCACTATTCCTCCAGTGGGGGGGCCTGGGACTGGATCTCTCAGCTGCCATTGGGATGTGCGGGATCCCTTGTGTGTTTCTGTGCTTTTAAGGAGGTTGGGCTTCCTCCTGACAAACCTGCACCCAATTTGAAATCTTCTGCCCCCATGTGCTCCAAGATGGAGACTCTCATAGTTTAGAGTTAGGACCGCACTATAAGAGGTGCCTTGGCGCGGCAGTGTGGCTTTCACATCCTCTGCAGAAGACGTGTATCCAAAACTCTGTTATTATCCTTAGTGGTGAGACAAGTTGTTTTACATGCTGGTTTGTGAGTGTGCCATGATGCCTTTCTACTGTTTTACTGTTCAAAGCCCATTTCGTGTGCACCTTACAGTATAACTGGTGACAAATTGTTTGTGCGTTTGTCATTTGTTTTGCTGGATCTCAGTGGGCCCCCAATCCATGGGCCCTCGTGCAGCCACATCGACGGTAAGTCCACCCTCAGGCTGTAGAACCCCCTCCCGCTATCTCCGTGCTCTTTTTTTGCCCCCGCCGCTGCCAAACTAGTAGATTCTGCTGTGTTAAAGCGCAACGGCAATGTTTGGTGGGCCGCTTCTACTAGTTTGGCAGCAACACAGAGATGGCGCACACAGCCACCTGTCCTTCCTTGCGGGCTGGAAAGGGCAGCGGGGGGAGTCAGTGACTGGTCCCTCTCCTGGCCGTGGGCCCTTGGGTAGTGCCGGGTAGCTCGAATGGTCAGTCCACCCCGCTTTACACATAGATGTTTAAATTATACTGTTATAGGGCAATAAAGAACTATGAGCAAGAAACGAAACGTATCGAGCATATAAACTGTAAAACTGTTCACCCAAGCCTGGTTTTTGTTTTTGGTTGAACATTCTAGAAGGAAAAAATAATGTAAATAGGAATGGGCAGTCAGCTGTGAGTAGTCGTCCTTTTATAAAAGTGACACTTAACTTGAGTTAGATTTTAAAAATGCATTCAAGTACCCTAACTGTTAACAGAAATGCAGCTTATTTGAGTATCACTCAGCTGTAGAGTCTTAAAGGAGAAGTATGAGGTGAGTGCTTTTCACTCACCTCATAGTTCTAGCCGACCTGTGACAATTAGTTTTTCACAGGTAGGCTCAGTAGATCGGGAGGTATGATCCGACACTCCTGGCGGAGAGACCAGGGGCCCGCCGCGCGCTGGATAACGATCCGGCGGCCGGCAACTTGCTGGGCCCCCCCAGAGCCTGAGGCCCCGGGCGCCCGCACCGCCTGCACCGGCGGTAGTTCCGCCACTGGCTACTTGTGTTCCCCATGGTCCCTGTGTGTGTGTTGTAAAGTAGCCAACGCTCAAAGCTCACTCCTGTGATGGACTACAATCTCACGGTTTGTTTACTCATTGGTATTGAGTTTGTAGTCCATGACAGGAGCGATCTTGGAGTGGTGGCTACTTTATAACACACAGGGACCATGGGGAACAAAAGTAGGCACCCTCCAGAAGGAAGGACAGAGTCTGTATGAATTCAGAAATGATTTGAGGCTCTACAGCTGAGTGATACACAAATAAGCTACATTTCTGTTAAAAGGGTGCTTGAATGTAGGGATGCACCGATACCAAGTACCGCACTTGGTACAAGTACAAGTACATATACTTTTCGAGCTCCAAGACTAGACTAGAGAAAAATTCAAAAGTTAGGAGGCAGCTGTCATTTGTAAGAGAAACACACGGAGCTCCTGAGATTTGTATATCTCTGTTTTAATGCATGATTTTTTTTTTTGATAAACATATATAAATGGATGCATCAATACTATTTTTGCAAGTACAAGTACTGATACTTACCCAAGTACTCACAGGTACAAGTACTGATACATTTTTGTTTATTGTCATGTGAAAGTTTTTCTAAAACAATACAGACTAATGATTTCAGGACAGCAGTGGAGCGCCAGAGCTAGGTCCCAGCTGCAACCGCTGCAACCCTGGTAGTTCTCATGAAAATGCCAAGTATCGGCACTGGTATCTGAACTGGTATTGATGCATCCCTACTTGAATGTTTTTTTAAGATTTAAATCTTCAGTTTAGTGCCACTTTAAAGTGGACCTTTACCCCCCTTTAACTAAATATCACATCAGCATGCAGCGCTGCATGCTGATTTAAAATCATCTTACATTCCTTAGTTAAACAAACTTGTTTTTCATTTACTTACAAATAGAGTTCATCTACTTCATGATCCAGTTCTGGCACAAATGATGTAATCGTGCCCAAGCGTTGCATCCTGGGAAGATTACATCAGAAGTGCATTGCTGGGAAATCTCATCTGTAATCTCATGAGATCTCAGGGACAGGCATTTTTTGTCTCCTAAGATGATGTGCATGGTCACATGTCCAAGTCACATGTGCCAGGGTTCAAGGAAGTAAATTGAGATCAAGTCATCCGCCCTTAGTTAACATGGTTACTGTCGGATGACTGGGAAAGAAAGGTGAAATAAGGTATGCAAAGAATACAAAGCAGGCAAATTACTCAGAAGTATATGTTTGTAGATTGTCATTACTAAACATTTCTAAAGGTGTGTATGTTGTTATTTTAAAGAAATGGGTAAAGGTGCACTCTAAGTACAGCTTAGTATAACCTAAATGCTGCGTCCCATAGTATGGAGCTATTCATTTAGGTAGACCCTAACCCAAGCTGTATATAGAAAAATATCTATGATATCTGCTATGATGGTCTACCCGACTTGGGTGATCAGTAGAATTGGTGCCAAAAGTAAGGGAACGATTTGCTCTGAATTACCAAGAATTTTCCATCCAGTTGTACAATCTTTCTAACAATTGCCAAGCAAGGCACAAACTGGGAATTGGGTTAATCCCTGGCAAAGATTCAGCCTCGTTTGGGCACCGTAAGGCTTTGAGTTCAGTAAGGGAGGGATAATCTGTATCTCCGGTATGTACTTTAGGTCTGTATAACAGCCGTGTATCTTATGTGTCAATTAGGTGTAAAAATTACACTTGTAGATATTGTATTCCTACATTCACCATAGCAGGAGAGCCACACAATGACCACTAATTGACTACTAAATAACATTTTTCATGGAAAGAACTGTAAAATGAACTTGCAGAACTTGTCGACCGACACTTGAGATAATCAGATATTTTCAAATGTGTTAGCGTCAGTTAACACCAATTTGTTTGCCTTGTACAAAAGAGAACGCTTTTTGTCTAAACATCTGGACACGCTAAAAGTGGTAAGCTTGATATATATTAGCTGGATGCTGTTAAGCCTCCTCACTCTCTGAATTGTCATGATCAAATATTAATGGTCCATCAGCAATGCTCAGAGGGAGCTTATATTGCATTTGTGAGTAAAGCCTTGGTAATGTACAGTGGATCTATGCACTTTTTTCTAAAAATCCCAGGGCACCAGGCCATTCAAGGCTAGCATTGCATTTTCAATTAGACTCTGAGTGAATCCCTGGCATGTGCAGAAGCAAAACTGGTACACAATTAGCTCATTGTTGCTTTAGCTTTGTGCGGAGAGGATCTAAAGGACTGAAGAAAAAAAAAAGGAGCCAGTTACAAGAACTGCTATTGATGTGGAATAAGGGAGTTGCTTATTTCATGCAGCAGCACTTGATAACGGAGAAACTACAGCTATCATCAAATAGCACAGAGAGTCACTTTAAAGGCGTGTGCCAGAGGCAAAACACTTGGACTTCTTGGCTAATTGGGGGGGTGTCATATTTTTTTTCAACCACCATCGGTGCAATATGGAACCCAACAGTCCCAAAAAGATACAATTTGCAGTCCCATTGTTTCAAAGTCAGCTGGATCCAGAAGCATCAGAACAGGTACAAAATAATGTTGATTATTTTATTCGCTGAAAATGAAACAAAAATAAAACCTGATATTCACTTTTTATGTTACTTGTCCTTATACTTTAAATATATTACATGGATGAAATTTAATCTGGTTTAATGATTTGTATGTAATTTTAAATCTTGTAATGTGGTATACTCAGCACCTTACAATACTAGCAAAAGTTTATTACTGAAGTACATTTACAACAAAAATATTTGGAAAACTCACCCTATACCTTCTTATATTCTGATATTCCTTTATATCCTTCACTAAGTATGCTGCTGTTTGATGGCACCAACCATTTTCTTAAAAGGTCTTGTTAAATTATAACCTATACACCACTCTCGTTTTTCCAACACTTCTGTGTAACCTGATTTGCTATATCCATGTTTTTCAATTGTAATCTCATTTTAACTGCATGCACTTACTGATATTTTTTTTTTCATAAAGCCATTCAAATTATTCCAGTCTTTAAAAAATATATGATCTTTGATTTTTTGGATAGCTAAGAAATCGTTTATTTATTCTTTATTGCCTTAATACCTTAGGAATGCGCAATTCATGCTTTTGACATGGTTTCAATATAAATATGAAAGGAACCATGGTTCCTGATTGTGCTGAAAAATGCTCTGTAATGTTAACACTTAGAGTAGAGATTTCCATTATTACTGTTTTACTGTAGAGCAATTAACATCCCCTTATGTAACTTACTATCCCCTAATTGATTTTGACACTAAATACTCAGTTTCACATTAACATATTAATATATGGAGGTCAGACATAAGCTATACATTATTTACAGTGGGTTTGATAACCTACTTAATTCTGCCAAAGAAGCCTGCGACTTATTTAAGTTAATAGACATTTTATATTTTTATTGTTAATAATAATATTATTATGATGATTATTATTGATATTATTAGTATTATTATTAGAATTACTTTTAGATTGTAGTTTTTATAATCTTTGCATTTATGCATTTATCAACTACAAAACACCATAGATCACTTGAATCATGAATCATGTCACATTAACATATGTTCTGATTTATCTACATTGTGGTTTACAAAGGTTGATTTACTTAAGCCAAATAGGATGTTCACTTTGCAGGAGAATTTTCCCTTAGCTTAGTAAATGTGGTAAACATTCATTTTGGAAATAATACCCAATCGCATGCAAGAAAACAAACAAAATATATATATATTTTTGCTTGCACATGATTGGCTAATGAAATTCAGCAGAGCTTCACCTCATCCACTAAACTAAGGGAAAACTCCCTTGCAAAGTGAACAGCCTATTTGCCTTTAGTAAATCAACTGCATCATGTCTATAGGATGCGTCATAATTGCACTTTGGTTATCCAAACAATTGCATAGGTTTATCTTTCTAATTTTTGTAAAGGAATGCATTAATATGGACATGGATTCATATATGTCTCATCTATGAAACAATGAATAAACTCTACCTGGATGGGGGTGAGGTTTATGAAGGGAGTGGAAGCATTGTGTACTTTTCTATGGGGGGAAGGGAATGAGCCAGTCATTGATTAGAGAGATTTTCCAGTAGTTATTGTGAGCACTTCTGAAGATCATGCATGCTCGTAATTAGGTGTAAGGGTGCTTCTACAGTACTCAATGATGATAAATGATGTAATATTTAAGGTGTTTCATGATGGGCCTAAAGGATACTTTGTCTCTGGGATAAAAGAAGGAAGTGAAACATTGCAGTGATTTTAAATATATCCACATATTAATGCAAGACCTTCCCTAAGTTGAGTTTTGTAGCAGGATGCCTTTTGTAACAGGAGGCCTTTTGTAACAGGCCTAAGCCTGCCCGATGTTGCCTCTGCACCCTAGTCCCAAAAAAGAAGACACGTTGGCAGCTTTGGTGTCAGCCTGTCTGGTGGCCTCGTCAATATCATGCTATAAATAAGCTTAACCCTTTTAGTGCATGCAGTGTCTAAGATGGGTTGTGCAAACACAAGACAGCAAGTGTGTAATGTTGACTGTAGTCAGGGTAGACATCAAGGGTACCTCGCACTAACATAAAGGTGGTATAAAATCAAGATATATTTCCTGAACACATTTTTTACATTCTGTATATATGGGGCTCTTCAATATACAAAATTCTTGTAAATTGTGTTTTTATTGACAATAATGGTCTATAAACGCTAACCAGAATTCAAGAGTTTTTGTTCATGGAACTGGGAGAGATGTTAATGAGCTGATCTGAATTATTTGCTGTCTGTGCCTCTATTTCTAAGGTTATTGAGAGTCAGAGGGAACTATACTATATCTGTGTCCGCCCTTGGTATCAACAACAAACATGTAACCACACACACAGCTCTTCATTTGTTATTGCTTTCCAATGTGTCTGGCTGTTAGAAGCATTTAAATATTACAACATTTTAAAATAACATTAAACACCTGTGTGATTTTGGAATAGTTAGTGCATGTTTATATAAAATGTGTATAAGGAAATTGTAGGCCTGAGCCAAGGCAACAGGGCTTACAACGTGGCTTCTCAAAGGAGCAGAGTATACACACAATGGTATGATAGACACATAATGAGTGGTATCTCAAGATTGTTTTGGTCAAACAATATGTCATTATCTCCCCTTCCCCCCTTTGTTTTATTGGGTGGACTGCATGGTTGAATGATACCCCTGTATCTATATTATGTACAATGTTGTCTCAAATACCTGACTTTTGTTTTGGTTTTAATAACAAATATAATGTGCCAAAATGGATGGAACCTACAAAAAGAATTCAATCTTTAAATATGCCTAGGGCAGCATGATATCATGCTGTCCACAGAAGCCAGTTAAAGTTTGCATTCTACCTTGCAATGCATAAAACTGGCAACTGGATGCTATGGCCAACAGTATTTTTTACAATATGAAGCCTATCTAATTTAAGGGCATTTCAAAATTATTCGAACTGTATGAGCTCATACAGTAGTATAGAGTGTAAATGCACTTAATTCATGTACAAGCTGCATTTACACTATTACAGAAGCATCCAGTCAGCAATGAGCTTTGATACCTTATACAAGATACAATAATATACACTATATTGCCAAAAGTATTGGGACGCCTGCCTTTACACACACATGAACTTTAATGGCATCCCAGTCTTAGTCCGTAGGGTTCAATATTGAGTTGGCCCACCCTTTGCCGCTATAACAGCTTCAACTCTTCTGGGAAGGCTGTCCGCAAGGTTTAGCAGTGTGTCTATGGGAATGTTTGACCATTCTTCCAGAAGCGGATTTGTGAGGTCAAGTACTGATGTTGCACAAGAAGGCCTGGCTCACAGTCTCCGCTCTAATTCATCCCAAACGTGTTCTATCGGGTAGAGGTCAGGACTCTGTGCAGGCCAGTCAAGTTCCTCCACTCCAAACTCGCTCATCCATGTCTTTATGGACCTTGCTTTGTGCACTGGTGCGCAGTCATGTTGGAACAGGAAGGGGCCATCCCCAAACTGTTCCCAGAAAGTTGGGAGCATGAAATTGTCCAAAATGTCTTGGTATGCTGATGCCTTAAGAGTTCCCTTCACTGGAGCTAAGGGGCCAAGCCCAACCCCTGAAAAACAACCCCACACCATAATCCCCCTTCCACCAAACTTTACACTTGGCACATTGCAGTCAGGCAAGTTACCTTCTCCTGGCAACCGCCAAACCCAGACACGTCCATCGGATTGCCAGACAGAGAATCGTGATTCGTCACTCCAGAGAACACGTCTCCACTTCTCTAGAGTCCAGCGGCTGCGTGCTTTATACCACTGCATTCAACAGTTTGCATTGCACATGGTGATGTAAGGCTTGGATGCAGCTGCTCGGTCATGGAAACCCATTCCATGAAGCTCTCTACGCACTGTTGTGCCAATCTGAAGGCCACACAAAGTTTGGAGGTCTGTAGCTATTGACTCTGCAGACAGTTGGCGACTTCTGCGCACTGTCCGCTTCAGCATGCGCTGACTCCGCTGTCATTTTACGTGGCCTACCACTTTGTGGCTGAGTTGCTGTTGTTCTCAGTTGCATCCACTTTGTTATAATCCGACTAACAGTTGTCCATGGAATATTTAGTAGCAAGGACAATTCACGGAACACACCAGGTTTTTTCAGCTTGGTGATTGACAGTGGCTTCTTCAATAAGCCTTGCTGTCCCAGTGACCTCAATCGTTAATAAGCAATTAGTCACTGGATAAAAGTTATGAATACCATGTCAGTAAAACGTTTTTTTTTTGCTGACCAAAGGCCATGCGATCGCGTTTGGTCCACTTTGCTCTGCTCAGTCCGGGGTTGGGCAGGGAAAGCAAACAGCACCTAAAAACTTACTTCCTCCAAAGATGGTGACTTCCTATTTGTAGTTTACATCCCTGCTGGAAAAATCTAGAGAGGCACTCCAGCACCTGGGCTGTAATGCCCCATAGACTTAATTGGAATGTACCTGTACTTTTGGAGCAACGTCACATTCATGTCCATGGGACATGACTGTGCAGGTGCAGGCAGTGCCACACTAGATTTTGTTAGGTGGGATGTGAACTAAGCTGCCACCATTGTCGGCAGAGATAATAAAGCACCTGCGGTAAAACGCTCAGTACTGAGTTACAGTTATTTGCGTTGCTGGGGAGGATGGGCTGAGGCAGGGAGGTTTACTTACAGATGCACTTGTCCTTTACAGGAAACCTGTACTATAATAATCTCTGCTGACCTCTCCTTTTGCAAATACCAGTTGTCATGCAGATCTAGTGTCTTTGATATTTTCTACCTCACTGATCCATAAACAATATGCATATCAGGTATTCTGAACTTATTCTGATTGGTCATGCTTGCTCTGGATCTATGACCCAAAATGGCTCAAGGCCAGAGACAAGCAGGCAACTAGCATTTTTAGAAGGAGATCAGTAAAAGCAACCTCCCTATTACTCTCTGTACAAGATCCAATTAATGTACATGTTTTAGATAACTCTTAAATAAACACAACAATTTAACAGCCTATAGGTAGGCTCTGAGTGTTCCCACATAAAGTATATACTGATATTTAAACCATAGCTCTGTGGAAAGACTAAGAGCACGCATTCATAACTATTAAGTAATGTTCATGCCTCTGTCTGAATGAGCTTGTGCTGGTTAGCTCTGGGGCTTACTGGGTATATGTATATTTTACCAAAGATACCTAGCTCTCTATGCTGATATCTATAAATAATCCTTCGATGGGCTCCCAATTTTTTTAAGGTGCATCCAGTAGTCCTAGTTTGGGTATTGCCAAGAATTATATATATTGTATAGGAAACCTAAACTAGAAAACTAGGTAGGCTTATCACTGTTACGCGAGGAGGGTGCACTTAGCCTATGCAAACATTGTCTTTCAGGAAGTATTTGCATAGAATCTTCTGTGTCCCAATGGTGCTGTCAACTGGCTTATTTCAATGAGTAGGGTGCCTTCTGGCACCTTATGATCTGTAATTTACCAATAATATTAGTTGAATACTTATATACCTAATTTAATATTTCATTAATCCAGTTGGGTCTTGTCGTTTTATGGGACATGGTTGAGTACCAGATTTGATTTTAGCTTTTGTAGTAGTAATAATGCTGTGTGGTACAAAGATATAAAGCCTTATACAAATGAGTCCTCAAACAGCTGCATTTTCAAACTTTATTCACCTAAATGAGCAGATGTAGCTAGGACATAAATGTAGACCCTGAGAGCCAATGCTGGGGCACACCTACTGAGGTACACATATCATAAGGTTCATGCATGCTGAAAGACCACAAAGCTTTATACTATCACATCAATCTCACTTTACATTCTGATCTTTTATGCTCTTTTCATAAATAGATCAGAAAAAGAAGGCCCACACCAGCCTCACTGGTCATAATGAATGAACAGCCACCACCAGGTAGGTAAAAGATCGGTTCCTGGTCTTGATGGAAGTTTTTATGTTATAAACTTATCAAAGAAAATGCAATGTTTTTTCTAACATCTGACTTTTGTCTTGTGCATGTTGTGTTATACAACCCCAATTCCAAAAAAGTTGGGACAATGTGTAATATCTTCATTAAAACAGAATGCAATGATTTGCAAATCTCATAAACTCATATTTTATTTAAAATAGAAAATAAAAATCATGAAATGTTTAAACTGAGAAAATGTACCATTTTAAGAACAAAATAAGGTAATTTTGAAATTGATGGCAGCAACACGTCTCAAAAAAGTTGGGACAAGGCTCAACAGTCCTGGGTCTTCTTTGTCGTATTTTCCATTTGAGCAAAGACAAGCATAAGTAGTTAGCCCAATGGCCCCCCAGGTGTAATTTCTCCCCCTACAACACAATTGGCTACATTGTACATCCTATGGAGAGCCAGATATGTCAGCCCACAGGTGGGAGACAGCAAGGTGGCTGTGATGCATTGGATCCTGGACCTTTACTATAACCCTCTACCTCATAACCAGCAGATGCAAGGTGTGTGGATGTTGGAGCGTAAGAACACTACAAGACAGATATAGGCAGTCCCATCCTCCTTCTTAGACGTGCAGTCCCTCCCTCCTATGTCTCCCTGGGACATAGAGATAATAAACATAAAACTGAACGGGATCTTTCAGCCGGAGGATTTGTATCCCCGCCCATAATCCATACAGAGAGCTCAACCTTCCCAAAACCACTACAACTGGGTGGGTAGGTCACAATCCCCTGAAGAAGCCAAGTCGCGAAACGCATAGGGATTGGACATATACAATGTATTGATTTTCAATGGTTTTGTTTATACATGCCTAATTGGTATATGATCTCTGTTTGAATATTGTTGTATATATTTTCTTTTTTCTTTTAAATTTGGTCGCAACTGTTTGTTGCCCCATTTTTATTTTTGTTTGTATGTACATTGTAACACATATGTTATTTATAAATATGTAGAAATAAAAATATTTAGCTTTTTCTATCAATTGTTGTTCAACAATTTTTAGATGCTGCTTTTCATAGATTGGTGAACCCCTGCACATCTTTACTTCTGAGAGACTGGCTCTCTAAGACGCTCTTTTTATACCCAATCATGTTGCTGACCTATTGCCAATTAACCTAATTAGTTGCAAAATGTTCTTCCAGCTCTTCCTTGTTAGTACCATTTACTTTGCCAGGTTTTTGTTGTCCTACCCCAACTTTTTTGAGAAGTGTTGCTGCCATCAATTTCAAAATTACCTTATTTTTTGATGTTTAAACATTTATATGTTTTCTGTTTTCTATTGTGAATAAAATGTGGGTTTGTGAGATTTGCAGATCATTGCATTCTGTTTCTATGTAGATTTTACAAAGCATCCCAACTTTTTTGGAATTGGGTTTGTACCATGGGATTGGACAGAACAGATCAAACCAGTACATGGGGTGGTTTCTTGCCATACAATAAAATGTTTATTATGCTTATAATGTCATAATGTGTATAATAGTTTATTGTTTCCATGCATACAATACGTTATGCCTTTTTCTGTCAACTCTTTATTTTACCATGTGTACTATAATGTTAAGGAGTAGGTGAAGTATAGCAAAGAAAAAAAGAATAGGAATAGGTGGAATAAGGGAATGGCAAAGGTAAAGAAGATTCTTGATGAATTAAAAATAAAAACAAGTTAGCCCTATGAACTGTCATTTGGAATAAGGATAAACAGTAAAATAATTATTTTGCATTTTAAGTACAAAATTACATATTGCCAGAAAACAGGTGCAGAAAAAAAGACTTACTATAGTGCTTTTTCAAATGTCCTTTGTGTTGTTACAGTACAGATTATTATCAACACGTTACTGTAGTTATTGCAAATAACAGATGCCTTCTTACTATCAGTTCCTGCACTTGCACATTTTCTTGATGTTAATATTGGTTTTTGAATATGTTTTTATATGAAAGTGCCATGTTACTTTAGATATATACACACATGATATGTGTATGTGTGTTTATATGATGTTCTTATGGTCTTATTTTAGTTTGTGCTCAAATGTACAAGATGGGATCTTAACAAGGAACCTATATTTGATTTGATTATGTATTTGTGTCTAGATGTTGCACCGATCCTTTGAATTCTTTATTCTGAATTCCAGGCTGGAACAAGATCAGGAGCTTTTACTTCAGTTTAGTGTTTGTTTTCTCAATTACTGAGAAAATAATCAAACCACAAGATCAGTAAAAATCCAGGCAGCCAACATTTTCAGATGGAGATCAGCAGTTGCATGCTTGTATTTCTCTCATGTCAGGTTTCCTTTAAAAGAGGAAGCAAAATATAAAGAACTTGAAATACTTAAAACATAGAATAAATACCCAATATGCATTATAAATGATATTTTATCAAAAGAGCAGGGGAATTACTCAAACTTTGCTCTTAGTAGCTCTTTGTAAATTCCCTTTCCCTGTATATGTCTTTAAGAGAAAAAGAGAAAGACATGGGCCATCTGACCTGTTTGCAGTTCGCATTATACCCAATCCACACTAATTAGAATGGCAAAACAATAGAAAGACAGCTCTAACAGGTCACACGAAACAAAGTCAAGGGGCACGTAGGCATTGCATGACTGAACAAAGGAAATGACGGGACTCTAGCCAGCAAATTCTCCTATGCAGGAATTAGAAGTCTAAAAAGAGCAAACTCGTTTTGTATAGTTACTAATGTAATAGCTGTATTGATCTATAACTATAACTTTAATAACTTACTTTGTCTCTACAGTGTAGAGACCGATATGTCTGCAGACCAGGGCTGAGAGAAACAAGGGTGTCATATGCTCTACATACCTTTAGGATTTATTGTCTTCAATGCCAAATTAAATTTGTGATGATTTTGATACCGTACACATGTAATAGCAGGATCAACAAATCACAAACTGCTGAAAGAAGGCCGGCTTTGCAAAAGTTTTGCTAGGTTCTAATCATTCTTTTATGTCATGGGATTGCAGATAGTCAACTGTGCAAAGCCCATTTAGAGGGATATCTGTACCTTCCTAGCTCTTAGTCCTGGTCTGCAGACACATGATGTCTACATGGTATAGTGCAGATTGCATACCTGCTACAGGTAGACAAAGCAATGAATACACTGGCTTGGGCATAACATAGGAAAACGTAAGAGGTTGGAGGTTATGTATGCAGAGTTCATTGTTGCCCCTGGAAATGTATAAATTGCTTAAAACACAAAACACCATCAAAATCTGGTTAGTATAGTGGTTTCCTTTTGTTGCTTGTGTTTCTTGCTTGTTTTAGTACATTTCTGAGGCCTACACAGGAAATAACTTATAAATCATGTAAAATTGTATGAATGTTTTATCTTTTTTATTTGTATACATCTGTGTGTAATATGTACATTCTTATTGTGCGGGGGAAGCAAAATATTCTAGATACTCAGCATACATTAGCAGGGTCAGAGTGCAAGCTGTGGGTGCTGCTAGGACTGGGAATTTCAGAAATGAATATAAAAAAAAAATGACTAGCAATCAAATAAGTAAATTACTCTTTTGACGTATTGTTGACTTCTTGTTACAATTCACACTACACATGAATCAATAGGGAATATTTGAGCATTGCCAAACCACATTGTTATATTTTGAGCAAAAAAAAAGTACCTCTTTCTTTTCATTTATTAAAAACACTGGGATGATTTTATAAATCAAGCTGCAATCTTATAGTGAATATGTGTAATAATCCGTCCCACTTCTCATGTTTAGCACTGATTTGCTGTGCTACAGAATTCATAAATGTACCTACCTGTTCATGTGAGCCTACACAGTCTCAATCATCTGCTTAGTGGTTACTGGGAGCATTGTGTGGGTTAAACCCCTTTCCTGGCCAGACCATTTTCAGTATTCAGCGCTGAGGTACTTTGACATTTACTCAGTCATGCAACGCTGTACTGGAATACATTTTTCTTTTTTGGGGGACAAGGAGAGCTTTCTTTTGGTGGTATTTAATCAGCACTGGATTTTTTATTTTTTACTATATAAAAAAAAAAGTACCGAAAACTTTGAAAAAAACCAAACATTTTCCCTACATTATGTTATGAAACATTGCAAATAAATACATTTAGGCCAACATGTATTCTACTATATTTCTTTGATCAAGTCGGGTAAATAGATACCAAACATGTCAAGCCTTAAAATGTCATGCACCCGTGAAACCACAAAAAAACTGCCGACAGGCGATGCTTTTAAAGTATTTACTGCTCATCATTATAGTGTTAACAGTGATTGATGGCCCTACATTTATTGCTTGCACTCCAAACTTGTGTTGACATGTAACATGTGTGGCGCAATAATAGTTTTTGCATGCATGTTTGGAACTGACGCATGTTTGCGTTTGTATGTGTGTGTACATGGGGGCAGAAAACTTTTTTTTAAATTGTGTTATTCAAATTGTTTTATTATGTGACTTTCATTTTTTAAACTTTTTTTTAATCCTTAACTTTATTGCTATCACAGATACAGATCCTCTTTATAGAGACATCAGGGGACTATTAGACCGCTAATGTCACCTATAGACCCCAAGGAAGCTGAAGAGGCGCACACCTTCCCAGCACCGTACAAGCGAGAGCCACTCAAACGCTTGTATGTAACAGCCATCGCCGGCTGAAACAAATGTTCGAAGTTTCCTGTTGCTCGTGCATGGAAGGGCGCACAGGTGCAGGGCAAAACATGTAAAAACTAGGGATGTCCAGATACCAGTTCAGGTACCAGTGCCGATTTTTGGCATTTTCACAAGAACTATCAGGGTTGCAATGAAACTGTCACAGGTTGGCTCAGTAGATCGGGAAGTGAGCGAGCACAGAGCGGCGCTCGCTCACTTCTCGATCTATCCGTGCAGAGAGCCGTCACTCACAGCGCCCTGCAGGGATTCCCCCCTCCCCTGTCCGATCCTCCAACGCTGACTGGCGAAC